ATGACTGAGAAAACAAACTTTGTGTTTTTGAAACCATTAGTGAAAAGGCCAGACTTCAGGGGTATCTGAGGCAGGCTTGAAACACAAGAGTCAGGGTGGCTTCTGGGTAATACCAGATGGCTAGGCCTCAGACTGACGAAGCCTCTTGGACGAGGGGCGAAACGTTTCTTTTTTAACAAAAAAAACGAAGTCCAGATGACATGATTCAACCTTTTTTGTTGTTATATACCTGGATGACTGAGAAAACAAACTTTGTGTATTTGGTGTGACATTCCCACGCCCAATGTCAGAGATACCGATAAATGGAACAAGGCATCTTTTTCCTTTCAGTCACAGAAACCGGAAGCTAAATTTGGTTCCTAGCTATTTAGCTATTTTTTGCTATTTTTGCCATCTTATTTTAATTTGTTTACAAAAAAAATCTGTATGCCTCTTTTATGATTGTCCATTATTGTCATCATTCTTTGTTGAAATCAGGTCTCTCTTGTAATTGAGTCCTCGATGCTCAATGGGATTAACCTGTCTAAATAAAGGTTGAATTAATTAACGGTTTCAGCAGAGAAACCAGCTTTGATAGAGATGGTACGAAGGAATGAGCATTTCTGATTTAAGATAAGATAAGATTAGAACTTTAGTGATCCCGCGGGAAATTATTGTGCCAGTTTCAGTACAAAGGAACATACATAAGAATCACAAGATATAAAGACAACAAAGAATATAAAAAATGCCAACAATTAAGTTCAAAACGGGTTCAAAAAATGGACAGATAGCTTTATTTGTCCCCGTAGGGAAATTGGTTTGCAGCATTGTCAGCAGGAATTACAAAAAGGACATATATATATAAACATGGCATGGCATCCATCATTACGGCAAAGAAGTTTGAGCTCAGTAATTTATGATACCTTTTTACTGTTTAATGATTTAATTGCTTGTGGTATGAAATAAATGTTTGTCCTGTTTCTTGATAATAAAGGAAGGCAGTACCTTTGCCCTGAAGGAAGCAACTCAAAAGAGGATCTTAGGGGACATGTATTGTCTGCAATAATCTTGATTGCCTCTGTCATGACTCTATCCATGTATATTTTTTCCATACTCGGCAGCGTGGTCCCTAACAGTTTGCTGGCTGTGGTTATACTTCTCAAGGATTTCATCCGAGCCTCTGTAGCATTGCCAAACCAACAGATGTTACAAAAAGTTAAAGCACCCTCAATAAATGCAGAATAAAACATTAAAAGCATTGAGTTATTGACTCGAAAAGACCCCAGTTTCTTTAAAAAAAATACAGTCTCTGCTGAGCCTTGGTGCTAATAAGGTCAACCCATGAGTCCCAGTGACAGTCCAAAACCATGCCCAAGAACTTGTAGCACTTGACAGTTTCAATCTGCTCTCCATCGATGGTGGTTGGAGAGAATGACAGAAGCTTCCTGAAGTCAATAGTCATTTCTTTTGTTTTTTCGTGTTCAGAATTTAGATTTCTTGCACCAATTAATGAAGAAGTCCAGAAATGGTCCGTGCGCCTCTTCCTTGTTGTTTAAGAGGCTTACCAGGGCCGTGTCATCAGCATATTTAATTAAATGTCTATTTGGGGAAAGTACTTCTGCAGGAGTTTGTGTACAGAATAAATAACAGTGATGATAAAACACAGCCTTGAGGAGCGCCAGTGCTGGTAGTTGTTTTGTCAGAGAGTGTTGAACCCACACTGACCTGCTGGACCCTACCTGTTAAAAAGTCTGTAATCCATAAAACCAAGCTATGCGAGATTAACAACTCTTTTGTTAAGATCTCTGTTAAAACTATTGGCTGAATGGTATTAAAAGCTGACGAGAAATCCACAAATAACATTTTTGCATGGGCTTTTGGTCTTTCAAGGTGGGAATAGAGAAGGTGCAGCATAATCAGAACAGCATCTTCCACTCCTCTAGAGGGCTGATATGCAAACTGTAGGGGGTCTAAAAGATGCTGTGTTTGAGAGAGAATGACTTTTTTTAATTATACGCTCAAAACTCTTAATCACCAGAAATAATGCAATGGGACAGAAATAATTTAAATGTGATGGTCTTGGAATTTTAATGGTCAAGCATTGAAAGTTTTATTTCTTGTCTGTTTGACAAATTCAGCAATACTTCAGTTATTTGTAAGTACGAGGTTTAAACAGCCTTATTTGCAGTTTCAATCAGCTGAGAAGACCCACGTGTCTTGAAAAAAGAAACTGCTGCACTTTTAATTACATCTTGACCTGTAGCTGCACATTTTCCTGTAAAAATTATCATTCTGCAATTATTCTTTTTTAATAAAGGGCTGATTAAACTTTTTTCAAAGCGTCCCAATCTGAATGCATTAGACAGCATTCAAAGCATAAAGGATTGTTTCATTCAACCTTGACAGAAAGAGCTGAAGTTGATTTGCTTTTCTCTCCGAGGAGAAAGGAATCAAAGTCGTCTGTTCCTGTTTCAATCAGCCATGATGTTTATACTCAACGGACTGCTCGGTTTCCAAAAAAGGTTATACCGTATTCCTATTTAAAAAAAAAAAAAGCCTAAACAGTCAAGGACACAGGAAAAGTGTGATCTGATTATGAATGCTGCTTCCTCTTAAACAGCTTTAGGAGTTGAGGTGCCACGCCCACTTCCTGCACAGATCACACACACACAAATGCAGACAATGAGTACACACGCATATAAACATCTTCTGCTGTAACTCAAACAGCAAATGTTTTAAAGTTCACCTCAGATGAATGTCTTTTTTTTTTTTTTGAGCGGGTCAAGTTTCTCAACACATGGGACTCGTGACACATTAGAACTGTTGCTGGATGATCCTAAAAAAATGCACAATAGTCGTTTTGAAAAAGAGCTGAGCTCAGTTCCTGAAAGGCTGACGTGAACTGAAGTAACTAAGGTTAACGGAGAAACAACTTTTAGCAGAACTGGACACTGAGGCGTGTTGCCCAATTACAGTTTTTTTATTTTTTTTTATTTACTGGATTTTACACAAATGCAACTAAATCATCTTAATCTGAACGACAAACCAAAAAAAAAGCACTTTTAATTACAGAAGATCTGCAATTAAGCGTTGTATCATAATGCCACCCCTTTTTTTAAAGGAAGAAAAATTTGTGACCAATAAAAACTGAACTAGGTTTTGAGACGTTTGTTTTTTGGGGGGCAGATCTTTGTCAAAATACAGATTAGACAAAAAGGAACCGTGCTTTGCTTGAATAAAAGAGCCCCCGCCAGCCTTCAGAAATAGAAACGATCTGTGACCACACCACACTTCTTCAGAACCAACAGTACAGCTCAGTCTGTTGACAGAAACCCAACTAATCTA